AGGACAGCGGTAAAATGCATGGCAGGAATCACATGGAGGACAGGTGAAGCAGCTGGCAGGAACACATGGAGGACAGCGTGAACATGCTGGCAGGAACACATGGACGACAGGTGAACATGCTGGCAGGAATCCATGGAGGACAGGTGAAACCATGGCTCGGCGCCATAAAGGCAGGAATCACATGAAGAACAGGTGAACATGCTGGCAGGAACACATGGAGGACAGGTGAACATGCTGGCAGGAATCACATGGAGGACAGGTGAACATGCTGGCAGGAACACATGGAGGACAGGTGAACATGCTGGCAGGAACACATGGAAGACAGGTGAACATGCTGGCAGGAACACATCGCTCGATACGTACCTGGCAGTGGAGAGAGCTTCAGCTGTAGCATCTGTAAGGTAGCTGGGTGGAGCGCCACTCTACATGTCAGGGTTTCTACTTTCATCATCAGCACCCCAGGCTCAGTAGTAGGCAGTGCCATAAGCTGTTAACAAGATTAGGTGGATGTAATATAAATTAAGTTTCAAATGTTATTAAAAATGAAATTAATTAGTCCATTAATCATGTTTTATAAATTATGTATTATGCATCATGAATTAGGTATCAATAAAATGCATACATCGTTGTGAAATTAACAACATTTTTATCAAATTACCATGACTCACTAGAAACACTGGAGTATTAATCGTAAATTACGTAATTACCCTTACTCCTAAAATTACTGTAGTAATATATATATAGTTCGCCTACGTTGTCCTCGTTCTATAAAAACCCATCTGCTACACATTAGTAACTTAAGCCCTGTCTACACGACGATTTTTAACCCGGGCTAAGCGTCTACACGAGGGCCTAACCCGGGATACGTCTTAACCTGGGTTAGTGTAACCCCGCGATGTGAGGAGGGTTAATTAACCCGGGTTAAGCTGTCTCGGGTTAAGTGTCATGTAGACGCTGCTAACCCGGGTCAGCACATAGTTTCTTAACCCTGCGATAGGCGGCAATAGTGAACAATAGTCCACTATAGACAATAGAACAATAGAAACATCTCGCGTGCCAGAACCGCTCAAGCAGCGGGTGGTGCTCGTGTAGACGCTACGCATTTCTTATCCCGGGTTAAGCTAAGCCGAGACTGTTCTTAGCCCGAGTTAAGTGAACTGAAAAAATTGTTCTCTTCAAACTTTTCCACCTAGAAACGCCTACACAATTACTTTCAGTTTTATGTAATAAATATTCTCTTCTTTGGCAAAGGTTACGTTAATGTTGCCCCTGCTAACTGTCGCGGTTGCGCTTCAGACATACGGCCGCTCGCCGAGCAAGAAAAAAGGGAACGTTCTCGCGGAGCGCGAGCTCGGGATCCCGTTCCGAGCAATCTCCCGACTGGCAGTCTCGCGGTAACCGGTGGCCTGCGTCGCCGTCCATGCGAGGCGGACCGTCGGCCGGCGTCCCGCTTCCAGTGGCGATGTCGCCTGCGAGGTCACTGGCGCCTACCCCTCTCCCTCTACGCGTGGAGGCGGGAGGGAGCGGTGTCGCAGGTATGGATCACCCGACTACAGTGTGGCGAGTGTGCAGTGTTAACTCGGACCTGTACCTTGCTGTGGGTAGACACGCAGCCGTGTAGCCGAATCCATGTGCTGATGCTAGCGACCGTTCTATCAACTGTAACTGCAATGTAACTATTACTATACTATCAACTATAACGTTAACTTGTAATTGTACGCATATAACTATAACAATCTACAACATGACTATAACTAAATACTACAATCTACACACCATGACTTCAACACTTAACAACATCTACAACGCATGAACTTATAACTATACACACATCTACAGCATATGACTATAATATAACAACAGTCTACACCATCGACTATAACTAATAACAACATCTACAACTACCAACTCTAACTATAGCGAACATCTACAACCATGACTAATAACTATAACCTACTCTTACGTCCAACCATTGACTATACTATAACAACATCTACAACATGACTATAACTATAAGCAAACATCTACAACCAGACTATAACTATAAACAACATCTACAACGATGACTAGTAACTATAAGACAACATCTACAACACATGAGCTATAACTATAACAACATCCTGACTAACCATGACTTATCAATATAACAAACATCTACAACATGACTATACACTAACTACAACATCTACAACTACAACTAAAACTATACACAACATCTACAACCATGACTATAACTATAACAACATCTACACACCATGACCTATAACGTATAACAACACAGTCTCACCATGACTATAACTAAACTACATCTTAAACCCATGACTATAACTATAACCTACATCTACAACCATGACTATAACTAATAACAACATCTACAACCATCGACTATAACTCCTCAACATATACAGACATGACGTGATAACTATAACAAGCATCTACAACTACAACTATAACTATCGACAACAATCTAAACATGACTATAATTACGACATCTACAACCATGACTATAACTAAACACATCCTACAACCATGATATAACTATAACAACATCTACAACCATGACTAAACTATAACTACATCTAACAACGCATGACTATACACATAACAACATCAGCAACATGACCTATAACTATATACATACATCTACAACCATGACTATAACACTTCAACAACATCTACACGCATGACTTATAACTATAACAACATCTACAACATGACGTATAACTCTACACATCGTACAACCATGACCTATAACTATAACACCATCTACAACGCATGGACTATAACTATCACAACATCTAGCAACCATGACTATTAACTAAAAACATCTACAACCATGGACTATAGAGCTACTAACAACATCTACAACGGCATACTTATAATATAGACAACATCTCACACCCATGACTATAACTATAACAACGCCATAATACGACCATGACTAAAACTATAACAACATCATAGGAACTACAACTATAACTATAACAACATCTACAACTGCATGACTATAACTATACACAACATCTAGCAACTACAACAGTACCTATAACAACATTCTACAACCATGACTAAATATTAAACAACATATACAACATTGACTATAACTATAACACATCTACACATGACTCATAACATAACAACAGTCTACAACCATGACTATAATACTATATACAACATGCCCTACAACTTACAACTATAGACCTACTAACAAATCACAACCATACTATAACTATAACAACGATCTATCAACTACAATATACACATAACAACACTGCTACAACCATGACTATAATAAACAAACCATCTACAAACATCGGACTCTAACTATAAAACATCTCACAACGCAGACTGAGTAACTAACCACAACATTCCTACAACCAGACTATAACATAACAATCATCTCACAAACAGACTGATGCAATATAGCAGCATTACAACCCAGTGGACTATAACTATAACAACATACCTCACAACCATGACTATACTTAACAACATATAGCAACCATGACATAACTAGTGAACTACATTTCTACAAACTAGCAACTAAACTAAACACATCTAACAACTCACTATAACTATAACAACATCTACAACATGACTATACACTATAACACATCTACGACATGATATAACTATAACAACATATACAACCATGGACTATAACTATAACAACATCTACAACCAATGACTAAACTACTAACAACATCTACACCATTGACTATAACATATAGACAACGATCTAACAACCAATATAACTATAACAACCATCTACAACCATGACATATACTATAACAACATCTACAACCATGACTATAAACTATAACGAAATATGACCACCATGACTATCAACTAAACAACATTACAACCCATACGATAACTATAACAATAGCTCTAGACAACGCATGACTATAACTATAAACATCTACATCCCATGACTATAGACCTATAAGCAACCTCTAACACATGACTCATACCTATTAACAACATATACACCATCGGACTATAACTCACTAACTCGCATCTAGCACTACAACTATAAACTATAGACAACATCTACACCACTGACTATAACTATAAAACACTACACCCATGACTAAATACATAACAACATCTACAACTACAACTAAACTATAACACCATCTAGCAACCATGACTATAACTATACCACAACATCTACAACTACAACTATCACTATAACCAGACAAATCTACATAGCCATGACTATAACTATAACCAACATCTACAACCATGACATAACTATAACAACATCACAACCATGACTATAACTATACACCAACATCTTACAACCGATCTGAATATAACATAAACAACATCTACAACCATGACTAAACTATAACAACATCTACACCATGACTATAACTATAAACAACATCTACAACCATGCACTATAACTATAACAACATTCTAGCAACCATGACTATAACCTATCAACAGCATCTAGCAGACCATGACTATAATATAACAACATCTACCACGCATGACTATCACTGATAACTACAGCAAAACCATGACTATAAACATTAACAACATCTACACCATCACTATAACTATAAACAAATCTCAACATACAACTATAATATAACCAACATCTACAACCAGTGACTATAACTAAACAACATCTACAAGTACAACTATAACTATAACAACATATACAACCATGACCATAATCACCACTATAACAACATCTACAAAACTACAACTATAACCTATAACACCATCCCTACAACGCATGACTATAACTAGATAATCAACACTACACTTACAACTATAACTATACCACCCACATCATCTAACAAACCACGACTATCAACTATACCGACAAACGATCCACCAACCACTCCCGAACATCAACCACTAAACTAACTAGCCCACAAACATCTACAACCAGACTGTATAACTATACAGAACCATCCTACCAGACCATTGACCCTATAACTTAACAACATCTACACACCATGACTATAACTATAAGTCGTACATCTACAACCATGACTATAACTAAAACACCATCTACAACTACAACTAAACGTAATAACAACATCTACAACCATGCCTAATAATATAACACACATCTAACAACCACTGACTAAATATACAAATCTACAACCATGACTATACACTCACACACCATCCTACAACCATCGACATAACTATCTAAACAACATAGCTACAACTACAGACTAAACTAAACAACATCTACCAACCATGACATGAAACTATAAACCAATCTAAGCAACCATGACTATAACTTATAGACAACATCTACAACCCAGTGACTACTTAACATAACTACATCTACAACCATGCACCATAACTATAATCAACATCCTACAACGATGACTAGGAACTATAAACACCATCGTGACAACATCGCCTATAACTATAACTAAGTCTCCCAACCATGACATAACTATAACAACATCTTACAATTCCCATGACTATAACTATAACAACATCTACAACTACAACTATAACTATAGCTATTGCTACAGCTAGAGCTACAACTACAACTACAATGATAACGCTAACTATTGCTACGCGTGACTGTGTGTGTGTCTAGGTGGAGGCTCGTCGTTCTCAGCCGCGCCCACCCCCTGCCTCAGCGCGCGTGGGCTGCCGCCGTGCGACCTGCTGTCTCACGAGGCATTCACGACCCTGCTCACGCCGAGTCCTCTACAGGACAACCGTCAAATGGTCACCACGTCTCCCCTCGAGCGCTTCATGGGCTGCGTGTTTCTGCGTCGCTACCTACATAGAGTCGTGCAGAGCGAGGACAATGTAAGCGCACGATTACGTCACGTTACTGTTACGTTATTATTATGTTACTTATGTGTTGTGGCTGGGTTTGTATAGAACGAGGACCATGTAAGCTTGTGATGTTGTCACGTTACTGTTAAAGGGATATATTACCTTAGGTTCCTTATGTTACTTGTGAGTTGCGGCTGGGTTAGCATAGAACGAGGACAATGTAAGCTTATGATGTTGTCACGTTACTGTTAAATTATTATTATGTTACTAATGTGTAGCAGATGCGGATTTTTGTAATAGAACGAGGACCCAATGTAAGCTGTGAGTTTCACTTAGCTGTTAAATATATTTATAGCTGTGTTACAGGACGTTCTTGAAGCTCT